CCCCCCCCACACACACACACATATACAGGCAACATATGTAGTTGTTATCTCGTCGTATTGCGCCAAGAAAGTTGTTTAAGTAAGCGGTGCGAGTTTCTTGAACCAATCACAGAGCCATTTAAAGTAAAATCAAAGCAATCATGTTTTAATTTCGCTGCTCAATTAAAATTTGCCATCAGAATCTCTCTGACTGTACCCAGTCAACGAATGAGACGTAAGCGGAAAGCAGTCAAGACTCGTTACGTTGGCAACATAAACCGTGGTCTGGTTGAAAAGTAATCCTGGATTGTGTTAGTTTATTTTTCGTCGCATTATGAATTGGTTTAAAAGATTCGCGCCACTAAGTTTTCTTCTTTTTACTTCTGTGACATTTACCCATGTTTTCTCTTTGTCGATGTGATTATTTGGTTTGGATTTTATGACAATCGATAGAAGGAAACGTGGCTGTGATTTTGGCGTAAACTTTAACTAAGAATTCCATTGTGGGTGCAGTGATCTTTACACCATGTCAATTCAAACATGATTGAGGAGGTGAAAAACAGATAATTGCTTGTAAAATTTCTCAGGTGGCAAAACAATGATCTCGAACGTTGCAAAGATGGAAGACGATCCTCAGAGACGTAAACCAGATATATCTCGCGCCAGGAAATACCTTGGCTGGGAGCCAAAGGTATGATTAATCACATTCATAATCTTATTTAGGAAAAGCAGTCAAATAAGGAGTTAAGTGAGTTGAGCGGAAATAAGAGATTCGGAACTTCAGTGACAGCATGTTTTCAGATTTTTTTAAGATTCCTTTTTTCAGTTTTGCATAGAACAAGAACAAACGCGATTTTTTTACGCGTTTTTGAAACCTTGCTTTCCTTATTTACGCTCTACATCTTCGTTGCAAATTTCGAAGTGGCGTCGACCACGGTTTTCGCGCCAAACCGCCTCTCAGAAGAGGGGTGCAAAATCATGACGTGGGCCTACGTTAACGTCCTCTAAGAAACACGTTGCCCCTTAGACGCTCTGGTACACAAGGGCGTTGCCTGTATTTTCTACAACTCCCACTTCTACACATAGTCGAAGAGTTCTAAAGCGTGATGTGCCATGAACTGTGATAAGAGGTAAACAAAAGTAAAGAAGGAATAACTGAGGAGAATGGGTCAAACAGAAAATGCAAAATCATTTTAACGCGGTTGCAAGAAAAGGCTTTTCCATTTACTTTCTGTTGTAAGGTTTTAACTGAAACTGTTTTACAAATGCTTCAATGAGAAATATTTAAGATAAAAATTTGAAAAACTGATAGTTAAGATATTTTTTTCCTACTTTCTCTCGACAGGTGCCTTTGCTAGTCGGCCTCAATCGAACAATTGCATATTTTAAAAAAGAGCTGGACAAATCCAAGAAATCCAAGTTAATAGACCTGTAGCGACTCAAGAAGATTTTGTGTATCATTAACGCAAAAGGAGTGTCTTGCTATTGAATTCAGCCCAGAAATAAGCCAACTACGACGTGATAAGAAAGTTAACCACGCAAAGAGAGACTTTCATTAGTTCAGCCGACACACTTTTTTGAAGGACAGCTCAAATTGTAGGAGGAGCATTTTACGAATTTTTGTTTGACAACATCACATAGAACAAATGATGAAACAGTAACCTCTAGGCCTTGTGATTTACAAATCAAAACACTAAATAGAGGAAGATACGAAAAACGCATGCGCTTTTTGGTTTTGAAAGAATGAATGAAAAAGTTTGCTTTCGTATTTGTTTTGTACATCATACATGAATTTTCATTATTTATTAATTTATTTAATAGTTTTTAAATTTTACAAGTGATCTTAAGTTGGCTTGGTGTAGCTCTGAGTAGCTTCGTTTTCTTTTCAGTAATAGTTTAACCCAGTCTCTTTCACAGCCGTTTTTTAGACTATTTTGAACTCTCACCATCCACACAACTGAGAACATTTTCCTGTGCTTAACGTGCACTACATGTTTCTGGGTTCCAATTTTCTACACCGGTTTCCTTTTGTTTTTCGATTCGTTGTGGAATCTGTACTATAATCAATTCGTAAAGCTGCGCCCAGGTCGCCGCTGTTTTTTTGTAACCTGAAAACTATAAAATAAATTCGTGTGTCGTAAGGGTTCGGTGCCGAATCCTAAAAACCTTGCTAGAAGAGTGGCCATTTAGTTTCTAGACATGACCTTATCTACGCGCGACCACTATAACAGTAAGTCGACACCTGTTAGCTCTGCCAGCGCTTAAGGGAAAGCGAACCGATATTCTGGCCCCGTTTGATAGAGGGGTGGTTACGTCATCCATTGGATGAATCTCTATATGGTAATGGTACAGTGCGTTTTGCTAACACTTATATGCTGGTTAGCGATTTTGTCTGTTGGACATTGTTATCCGCCCTTTGAAGAGCTGGGTCCTGATTAGTAACCTGAATGTTAAATCTGTCTTGCCTGCATTGGTTTGCCTCTTACCCAGACGACTCTCTTCTGAGAACCTACAGGCACGCAAAGGAGGTAGGGCATGGTCTCTTGCGCTTCAGGTTGTCCCAGTCAGTCGCGCTTGTCTGCGGGTGTTTGTTAGCGTTCTAAGAGGACGCCAGCTAGTTAACATCAACGTTCAAAACTTCATAACAACATTGATCAACAAGGGAAAACTTCTGTAATGACATAGGCAGCAGTCCCCAGCCATAGCAACCTTATGTCGCGACGACGGTCAAAACAACGTTATTCACCACAAGTTTGCCGTTATTAGTGCTAGTCACGTGATAGACCCTCGAAGGATTTCGGGAACGTACGTCTTTCTGGATTTAGTAGGCTTGGTCGATAGAGCAAATATATATTTAAGGGTTGGTTTGATACGACGACTGTGTGCCACCTACTATGTCAATTGACGACGGAGGCTGTGGAAGTCGCACTCAAGGAGCTTTGGGTTGTAAAGTATTGCTAAGAGAATATCAAGTGTTACTTCTTATCTTTGGTTTTCTGCGTCTTATGAAATTTGCAAGCCCTTAGCGATGTTCGAGAAATTCAACCGCGGCCTGGTTTTCGAACCTAGCTTTTTTGATCGCATTTCGTAAAATCGAATCCAAAATAAAACGGGCTACTGAGAGCAATAACAATTGAGGAACCAGCGGGAACACAACTGGAAAAAGTGAACGCATCAAGGCCCACGTTAAGACCCTGGATTGTTGAAGAAGGGCACGCACTTCCTTACTGGATCACGCAACAGGTGACTTGACTATCGCCACCATCTCGACCAATCAGGCGTGAAACAACTCGGCGCTCGCGTTTTTTCGCGTTGCATGCAGTTTGTTTGTTCTTATTAGAGCTCTCAAATATTCTTCTTAAGATATTCTTCTTCAATTGATTAACTTTGTAATTGCTTTGGATGGGTTTAAGGCAGAGCGCATAACTACCCTCTCCAAACAGAAAACCATTTGATACATCTCTTGCGAATCTACCCTCAGTGAAGATATGACAACACATTCGTTTTTAGACCGGTTTTAATTGGTATAGAACAGGTATAAGCTGGTGAATCGTGGCTAAAATACCTGTACTGCAATTCTCTACCAGTAGTAGGAACTCTGTAATTATTCTCCTACTCTTTCAAAATTTAAATTATTTGGTAATATTAATGAATATCTCGAAGATTTTCATATAGACAACGAGGATTCTATGAAAACTCAACCATTTTTCGACGATCCTCAAAGGCGCTAAAATATTGAATAAAATTTACAGAATAGACTATTAGAAAAAAAAACTAAAACGCAATTTTTTTTACTGTACACGTTAAAGACACAACAAATGAAAAACCTACAAGTCTCGCCACTGAAATTAACCAATAAAAAATAAAATTTTGTGTAAAAAATAAACTCTAAAGAATTTCTGTCCGCTTTATTACCTAAGCTGGATAATTGTTGATTGACAGTTTCATTTATGAGTTTCTTGAGCTGGCTTCTTTCGATGCCAGAATTAGAGGAACCAAGCTTGCCAACGGCTTGGCTTGCTTTAAAAATGGGTGCTGAAATGGATTCAAATAAAAATAATGTAAATGATTGACTCATAGACCTCTTTAGCTGGTAAGTTTTGTTTACCCACACCTAGTCTCCAGGGAATTCCCAGTTTTATTTTTTTTGTTAATTGTGCGTACATATTGGAGCACGTGAATAAGAGGAAATTAGAAGAAAACAGTTCTCTAGAGTACTATTACATGACCTGTTAGGAGTAAACAATACATACAAGCTAAAAGGTCCATTCAGAGTGACAAATAGAAGAGTGGTTTAAGCCAAAATGGACGCCCACAATTAGACAGACAGGAAAGCAGACAGACAAACAAACTGACAGATATCTAATAGAATAAAGAAGGATGAACCAACTGACAAACAGGATAACATAACAGATGCTAAAGGATAGGAAGACAGGCCACAAACACACAGACAGACAGACAGATGGGCATACAGACACGGACCAACAGACAACACACATACACGGCCAGACAGACAGACAGATACAGACAAACACACAAAGACAGAGACAGATACAGACAGACAGACATACAGACATACACAGCCAGATAGATAGACAAACATACAGAGAGAGAGACAGACAGAACTGTAAAATGTTCAAGCTAGACAGAATGTACATCGTGCACTCTACCTGGAGAAGCTCCCTAGCACCAGTTCTTTTATCTACATCCATTTCCAGTGACTGTGCAAGGAAATCCTTAAAAACTGGAGATAATTTATCAGGATGCGCAAGCTCTGGAGTGCCATTTGTAGCTATCAAATACAAAGCCTACAAAAATAATATGAGGTATGAGGTAATGTCAATCATGTGGGATGGTTTATCTAGGAACCTTTCAGAACCTTTCTAAAAACCCTCTTGTCCTGATTACTACTACTTGAAAATTGTAAACTATAGTTTTCATAAGTTCATTACTCTGGTGCAGTTCAAGGAATTAGTGCCCAGTGGTTATATTCTGAAGTGTGAGAGAAGGATCTCACTGCCCAACAGCATGAGAGGTGGAGCCCTAAAAAATGAGCCCCAGTCATCAATGGATTGCAACACTTTGCATTCACTTTCAACTGGGAACTAGAGATACACATGTACTTACCCTGAGAGGATTTTCATTCAAATATGGCGGTTCACCTTCAACCATTTCAATTGCCATAATTCCTAAACTCCATATATCCACCTATGATAACCATGAAAACATTACCTCACAATACATCTCAATGGACTGTTGACAGCATATAAGAAAAATTTAAGTCATTGCACTACATGTTCCAAGCTGAATTTCCCTGCAGACATGATCTAATACCCCACTCACACCAAAGCTAAAACGGATTTTCAAGGTGTTTTGTTTGACACAGTTTCTAATTGGAGGAAGATGTAATTCAGTGAATACAAGGCCTACCAGGAGAATTAAAAAAAAAAACTTCCATGTACTCCCAACAAAAGTCCAACCTATGATATAGCATGCTTTAACACTGAGCTACAAGGACACTTGTGGCAAGCTAATCTGTTTAATTAGGTCCACAGTGACAAACTTCTTGGAAACTGCTGTTATCTTTTGAAAAGTTGCTCATACTAATTTTTTTCAACCTCAATTATAGCTCAACAAAAAAACAAGTTTGTGGTTACTTAAAACCACAAGAAAAAAACTTTTTTGTTGTTTTACATTGCTGATTAGACTACACAAGTTTTGCTGGTGTATGAACTTGGTAATGTATGCCAAGATCGTTAAAATGTCCCATAAAGATGTTATCTTGCTTGTCAAATAATCATACAAAACACACCCAATAACCATCCAAAGTTGACCCTGTTATTTTGTATAGCTTTTGTGGTAAGAATTTGTGGCATTTAAGATGAAACAATCTTTTCTCCTGTATTTCTATAAACTAAACTAGAAGTTGAGGGTAAGGATATACCTTTGGACCATACTGTTTCCTTGTGACTACTTCAGGTGCCATCCAGTAAGGTGTTCCTACCATTGTGGAACGTTTGGACTGCTCTGGAGTTATTTGAGCACAGAAACCAAAATCAGCTAAAAACAAAATACAGAAAAATTTTGTCAGTATGACATACATGAACAACCTAAAATAACTTGAGACACAAGAGTTTCTTTCAAAATCCTTACTCAGCTTGACTTGCCCATCCATTCCAAGGAGAATGTTATCACTCTTAATGTCCCTATGAATGACTCCATTGCTGTGCAGGAACTCAAGGGCCTGGAGGCACTGCAGATAAGTTTGATTCAGAGGAATGAGTACAAAATTTCACTTATTAACAAATATATTTCATACTGCCATGTGTTTAGTAACAGATTACAGATGATGCCAGATGGTGGTAAGAACAAATAAGTGGCACACAAGGCACAGCTGAGTGTGTCATATTTGTGTCTTTTGTAATCTACTACTGAGCAGACACAGGGCAACATAAAATCTATTTGTTTCATGTAGTAAAGAAGCACAAAATTGTTATTGGTAACATCTATGTATCTGTTCTCCAATAGATGTAGATGATAAGTAAGTGCCAAACAAAATGCATGCATATTTCAGATTACAGAAATTAGTATAGATAACCTGGCAGGCACTATAAAAGAACACAAAACACAACAGAAGTAGTTACCTCTCTTGAAACAGAAGCAATTTGTCCTTCATCCATACATGTTTCTGTGACAACATCAGTTAAAGAGCCTCCTGCTAAATACTCCATTACAACCTAAGAGAAAGGAAATCAATAAATTAAGTTTAATGAACATGTTTCACTTACAATTTATGGTATTCAGTGTTAGAAGTTTCAGCCATAGTCAATATTGGAATGCTAATTTTACTCAGCTCTCTAATACAAAGATTATTTTGACTATGTAAGGTTCTTATCATTGCAATTAAAAATGATAATGGAAACCATCATTCTCTATCAAGAGACATCCAATTTTCAGCAGAAAATCAGCAACCTGAATGTAGTAGTTTTTTCATATCTTTACAACTCACCCATAATTCTTCTCCTACAAGATAACTATCCACATAGTTCACAATGTTTGGATGCTTGTTCTCCCTCATCACAAGAATTTCATTGATAATTAACTCCTGCAATCATAACAAGAACAAATCATCATTCAATAATGACACATTCAATTTCCGGATCGTACACAAATACAACAAACAAGAATGATAACAGCAAGCCAACTAAACAAAGCAACCAACCATAACCCCCACCCAGCTTCAAAACCAAGATACAGTTTACCTCCTTTCTCAAATGAGATGCATATATATGCATATATGGATATAACATGGAGGGAGATATCAAAATTTCTCTTTGAATGTTGAAAAATATTTCAAGAGTGAGCAAAACAATAAAGTGAAATGTTTTTCAACACAAGAAGAGAAATTTTGTATCTCCAAGTAACCATGTAGTTTTTTTTAAATTATTATATAGACACTAATGAAATACTAAATCGTTTCATTTTAATTAGTAGAACATGTCACAACTAAAAAATGGAAGGAGTATAAGGCCTGTAAAGTGTGAATGAAATACAAAATCATACTGTACTGTAGTAAAGGGCTTTAATAAAAAAATAATGGTCTTTAGAATTATTCAGTTAGGTGTGATTTTTATTTCTAACCATAACAACAGTAATCTTTTCTGTGCGAAGATAACATATTACCTTCACATCAGAAGGTATAATGTTTTCTGCATGAAAGCTCACTTGATGTTTTATTAGTGTTTATATAAAAAAACAATAGTATTTACCTTCTTTGGTTGCTGGGACAAGTTCATTTGTTTAATAGCCACCTAAATAAAATTATGATTGAGGTTAAAACAAAGATTCTACATAACTTTCTGATTTCTGTGTAGAGTCACAGATAAAGATTAAACGTTAAGTACTAGAGTTAACTATCTTGGGTGTTTCATTATACCTCATGTCCTGTAGCCACTTCAATTGCTGTGTACACTGTACCTGATGCCCTACAAGAAAAAGTCAAATCAAGTTGCTTGGTCTACAATCAAAACTGCACCTACCACCCTGAAGCAACTTAAGGTTACTTCCCACCTTTGTGAGTGCACTTTGAGGAAAAAAATGTGCACTAGTTTTACTTAAATCCTAGCAAACTATACTCAGAAGAAAGCTCAATAACAGCAGATTACAAGAAAAATATAAATGAAGGGACTCTTCTTTAAAGGAAGTGTTAGGAGCCGGTAAGGCATGGAACGACTGAAGGTTCTGCTATTGAATTTATTGGCTATCAAATGCCACAGTACGAGTGAATTGTCTGCAGTCTTATTCACAAGACATCAATCAACGAAAGTGTGTCAGGCTCTTTTGATGTTCTGATTGGTTGTTTAGACAGCATCTTAAGTTGGAGTAGCTAAAAATATGTAAGGCCCGTTGTGTAAATGGATGCCACTGGACAAATATTTCAAATATCAAAATTTCCCAACACCCTTTTGTTTACCATTATTCCTGAAATATTTTGGCAAAATTTGATGAAAATTGGTTAAATCTATATACCCTACAAATTCCCTAAAAATACAGAGGAGATCTCGTACAAAAATATTTCCTAAAAGCAAATCATTAACTAGGTAATAAAATAACATTGATGCATCCATCTCTACAAAAAAATTTAAAATTAAGCACTTCTTACAGTTCAAAATGCCACCTACAAAGAAAGAAGTATACTTACCCCTGCCCAATCTTTTCAAACTTTGTATATTTCCTTTTTGGATCACCAACACTAACTATGGTACCTGTAAGTTGTTATGAATGATGTCAGATAACAGAGATATACATACCCACTAAGGTCTCTGTTACAATTACTTGTACACGTCATCCTGTATTAAAATGTTACCAGTTGAATCATTTTTCATTAAAGATAGATTTGACTACATATACTATCAATAAAATAATAATGATGCAACATTTACACTTTAAGAATAAGAAGTTGGAGCCAGCAATGCACATTTTGCATTCATATTTTACATTGTAACTCTTGTTGACTCTAAAAATCTTCCTATGATACACCTAAGCAAACTTCATTGGAACATCTTGAGAAACTTACGTAGTCTAGCATGGATCTCCTCATCAGACATCTTTTTCTTCTTCCTGTCTCTCGTTTGAGCTCTTGGTTGATCATTTGTGGGCCCTGGAAGGAAAAAAAAAACAAAAAAAAACAAGTTATTCAAATATCTTCTTCTTGGAAGTTTTTCAAGCCAATTAAGCTGTTGGCAAACTATAACTAAGAGTTTAAAATGCAGAAAAACAGTGGAACATTTGCAAACTGCACTGACTAATCAGTCTAATAAATGGTACCCTCTTCTGTTAATTATCAAATTCAAGAGTTTGTCATTTATTTAAAATCAAAATAAAATCTGAAACCTTTTGGAGTTTCCTCTTCTTTAGCTGCTGGCTTTGTAGAAACTTCATTAGGAATGTACTAAAACATGAAATTACATATTAAAATTAGAAAATTGCTTTGTTTTCATAGCCATACAATAAAGTACATGCAGTTATGGTCTTAATAAGATTATTTGTTTACAAATGCATCTCTAAAAAACGCACAATGTACCATTACAATTTCCTGTTTAGTGAGACAGATTGTGTTAAAAAAAGACTTGTAACACAACCTTGAAAGCACTGCCTTGTGTGCCAAGCACTAGAAATTCCTATTCATTAATAAAGAGCAGCTGGAATCATTTGTTCTCATGCAACATCACTAAAATTCAAAAGCCATGCAAGAAACTCATTGTATTACCCTGGCTGTACTTTAAACTACACAAGGAGAAATGTGACAAGAGCAGGTGTCTTTCAAAAGCAAAAGTATTTGCTTTTGTTACATGTGGCTAACAGGCATTAATACTCTCTAAGAAGGCTTGTTCAACATTAATTCCACAATTTCAAAAGTACCAAACTCAACCTTAATTGCCATGATGGTCCTCTGTTACAATGGGTGGACAAAGACAGGACTGTTATAGTCTAGAATGCTACATTTGTGTGTTTCCTTTTTCTATTTTTGTCCTCTGGCTCATAATTATATAAAATACTGTATTACTAACCACATGTATCACTTCTTAGTATCAGTTCCTAGTGCTAACTCTTCACACACTAACATCAATATGTATTTTCTCTATACTGTTCTCCATACATTTCCCAAGAAGCTGACAATGAGAATTTGTTGCACAATCAAGTGCTTCTTTAATTGACAATAATTTCCTTTATTTTTGTTACCCTAATGTTTGATTCAGGGGTGATATTGTGATGAGAAATTAGATGCCAGTCACTCTTAAGGATGAAAGTGTTAAGACCCATACCTTAGACTTAGTGTGTTCTGGCCTTGATGGAATTGCTGGTGGCACTTCTGGTTCAGAATTATTTGGTCGCTCACTATGATTCTCTGCTGCCAATGTCTGATGATAAAATAAAATAATAACCATCAAATGCACCAAACCATGATGAACACAAGGCTTACTGCAAGAACTAAAATTTTCCGAAAAAATAGTTTTTACCGGGCAACACTTCAAAAAATTAAAGTGAGTTTGCTCACTTTTTTAAAATCAACCTGAAGTCACTTTCTTTCTTAATTTCAAGAACTACATGTAGTATTCAAATGCACTAAAACCATCAAAAGAGCTTCCATTTTTTACAAAATTTACATGTGAAGGTTCTAAAAGGAAACTTCAATGTCTTACATGTGTTGGAGTGGCATGTGGAGGGAGGGGTGGAGCATAAGTGTGGTCACCAATCTCAGGGCGTGTCGCTGTTTGACCTGCATGAGGAACAAGAAAGAATCATGTTAACTCAGCCTAGACCATCTGGCACAAAATTATCCACCATGATCAAATTATATATAGTTTGAAGTTGTGTGGTTATGCGATGAAGGCCATTGGACTGTTCAAGAGTCAGATCCTTTATATGAACAGCTTACTTAGCCACTTGACTGGATTTGTGTCTCAGAAGTCTTAAGTACAAGTCTGGCTTTGAAATTTTTGAGTGGCCAACTGAACTACATCTCATCCGGCCTAACTGCAGTCACAAAAACAACTTCCCTCAACAACACACAACTTCCAATTCTTTCATGACTCTTATTTTCCAACAGAAGACTCCTCTTTAATTCACTCCTTGGATGCCTACATGGTGCACTAAGCAGGCCAATTTTTTTATGATGACTATGCCTTCACCATAACAGCGAAACAAAACCTAAAATACCAAGTAGTGAAATTGCAAAATAGTTTTAAAGTGCTCGTAGATATCTGGTTTTTGTAATCTTTAATTCTGGAATCAAACTGATAATGTAACCCAGCAAAGAACTGATATCATTAACTATTGTATATTTCCCCTGCTTGCACAGATTCCACTAAGAACAATGAGGAAGACACATTAAAAAACATATGGCTACAAAAAGGAAAATGTTTATGTCTTTGCAAACAATTACCTTGGATGACTGGAAAACCAAATAGCTTGAAAATAACTATTGTAATACTCATCACCTTAAGAAGATCTGCACATTTCTTTTTTAAATTTAGGAACTTAAAAGTTGATATACATTGGTTTCAAGTTCACCATCTACTTGAAATCAGAATTTAAGGCAAATTTTAGCTTAATCTTTTATGTTACAAATTTAAAAGTAAAACTAACCCCCTTTTGTGTTTGTAGAACAATTCAGAGGAAACTTTTCAGGAAAGGAAACTTTAACATTTGATGTCATCATTACCATCTTAACATTAAAAATTGTTTAAATATTAACCTTTTCAGGAGTCAATTTGGTCTGCAAATTTAAACCCCTGAGAAAATTGCCTGTACAATAAGACATGTGGAAACTCTATATTTAGTTTTTTAAGGCATTTACCACACAGAGCAACTTTCAAGGTTAAATGTTTATCATTTATTTTGTTTATTTCAAAAAGAAGTCAGATGCTGACTTGGAATTCTTACCAGTTTCAACACCATTTCTAAAAAAATCCTGGCATGCACACATTTCTCCCGGTTTAAAAAGTGATAAACATGCAACAAAAACAATTTGACTTGTGATTTTTCTTTTGAAATCTGACAAAAAGCTGATGATAACACATGCACAAGAAAGCGATGAGCTGAATTGATGAATGGTTATGATGCTGATGATGCAAGAATCCAGTAGCCCACGCATCTGCCTTCTTGCCCCTACAACCAGCTTGTTACCCTGAACTTGGCACAAACTCATTAGTAAGATCTTATTATTTCACCTCGCAGTAGAAGCCACTGGCACAGGAAGGAGCGTTATCATAACTAATCTTGGTCACTTGTGGATGATGATTAGGGAAAGCTTTAAATTTGGGTTAAAAAATTTTAAGGAATTACTTCATTGGTAACAATAGTTACATTAGAACTAGAGAGAAATACCTTGAGAATCAGAGGAGATGCGTTGTGAATATTTATTAGTGGAAGATAAGTGTGAGTTCATGGTCAATTTCTCAAGTTCATCGGCTAAGGAGCCTGGTGATGAGCCTGTAAGCGAACTTGAAGTATCTGATTGAGAGGTAAGAAGAGCTCGTGTTGGAGAAGGAGACGACAACTTTCGCTCCTCTTTATTGGCTCTTCTTCTTGTCTCATCACTTGTTGAACCAGGAGATGGTAACGATTTCCTGCGTTTCTTTGAATTCCTTCTAATTATTAATTTCAAGCTGCTTTTAGACGAACGTTTGCTTTTAGAAGAAGTACAACTAAATGGTGAACAAGTTATTTTCAAATCTGTAGGGTCTTCTGGGGCAGATGACGTGTGCCGTGGGCTACTGGATGCTGAGGCTGACATGTGACGTAAGGGCGGCACAGTATCATTTGATGAACTGAGATCTAATCCCTCACTAGAAGTTGCTACAATAGAATACACATATCAACTAAACATTACAGGTGATCTTTAACTTCTTGTAATTGTATTTATCTTTTGGTCAGTGTTTAATCTTAAGAAAGATCTGAAAATTAAGAAGCTGCAAATTTATTTTAATTTATTTTGCTTCTGTCAAGTTGAACAATATTTCAGACAAAAAAGAGGAAACAAACTGGAGGGGACCATTCCAAATTATGTTTAGCCATGTAAAAGCTCAGTTGCCTTTATGATACTTTGCCCATGCAACTTTATGATCCACATTAACCTTTTTCAATGACTTCAGTTTCACATTGTTGTGTCATGACATGGTAATAATAATAACACCGGTTTAATAATGTTTCTATTTCAAGATTTAAAATTCAGTCAACCAACTAAATAGTACAAGTACATCTCACTCTGCAATTTCTGACTTTCTATAACTCCGTACAATTTGAAAAAAACACTGGCCAGTAACCCAGAGAGAGAAGTCCCCTTGCTGGGCAAGTACCTCCCCTAAGCCTATTACCCAATGAGCACTTGCCAGATAAAAGCCTTACTTATCTTTAACTCAAAAGGGTGTGCTGCATTTGTTATAATTTGCTGGCCATAACTGCACAAAACCTTTTCAATTATGTGTGCATACAGATCATGATGCAAACCTGAACTACAGATTCCTCATCACTAAAAATTGGTGCTCTGTTGGAACTGATGAATCATCCCTTTCAACTCACCCTGATCCAAGCATGCTGTTACACTGCCTCTAAACTAGATTGCAACTATCAATGTATCAAAAAGAACAGCAAACAGGCTGCTCATACAGGGGAACAATTATCACCTTCACAACTACAATTAGGCATCCAAAACTCGATGTTACCTACCGTAAGGCTTTGACACTGTCATAAATTTAGCATTTGTTTCTGCTTGATACTTTCCCCCATCATAAAAATTCAAGACATCAAGAACAGCCTGGAAGTCACCAAACAAATAAGAATTTGAGGTTGAACATAAAAAGATAATTATATAGACACTAACATTTTGTTTGAGTATCCTGAGATACATATACAATGTTTATCTGGAGGTTGAAATACAAATGTGCATTCTAATTTGTTAGCATTAAAAAAGAGCAGTTGCCATTGCACTTAACCATCAACTTATTTACTAACTTCTCAGCTATTTCATTTTGAAATATGAGTTACATGTACAAATAACATCACTCATTGAGCATCAACTGCAGAACTATTTTGGAGAATTTAAGAGGTCAACATTATGTTATGTAGCTCTCGCAATTTCACTGTCAGCCTCTGGTAAAACTATTCTGCCCATGTTGACCATCAGTTCCCTCTGCATCCTAAACTTTACAATTAAATACAAGGGCTTGCAGTTAAACAAAAGTGAAAACCTTCATACAATCAGTGAAAAATAATTTCCACCACACATCAACATTAACAACCTCCTTATTTATCATTTTTGTCCCTGTAGCTGTCTTATATCTCACCATTTTTGACCCCTTATCACCCCATCCTCCACCAGGAAAAAAAATAGAAAACATAGTATCCTGTTGCATGTGGTCATAGCTACTAAAAACAACATTACATGAAGGCTTACAAGCTGAGTATAAGAAGTTGTGATATTTGCTGTACCACAGCTATAGTGTGTTTGCACTACTCAAACACTAAATGACTACTTTTATTCCAAGCAGTTAGTAGAAAAGGTTGAACTCATTTAAGATGTATTTAATTTGCAGTGGTGAAGGTGGAAATGTAAAATAAAGGCAAAAAAAAATTAAATCCTTGATAAGTACCCCCCCTAAGAGCCCTTTGTCTAATTAAGTGGCCCTTGTCATACACTAAGAGCACTCTCTTGAAACAATTAATTGCTTATTGCATGATGCACATGTTACAAATTAAAAATTACAAACCTGAGGATTCTTCTTCTGCTCAGCTTGAGTGATGTTTGAAGTGTGAAGTAGTCTTGCCCATGCTTCAGGCATTCCCTGATAAACAGACACATTAACTCATCAATGGATGGTAAGAAAATCTCAAATAATTTACATATTAAAAGACGGTTGTTCAAACCAGACAGCTCTCTCTGCTTTGTTTAAAACCAAACTGGCTTTACAATCTACACAATAATGAATTGTAAATTATTTCAACTCTTTTCACATCAAGCATTACACATTCTATACAGAGGGCGTGACTTGCAAACCAATTTGAGGATCCACCATAAAAACAAAATGACTAAGTGCAGGATGACACTGTTGCACTAAACAAACCACAATATAATGTATACTGACTACTAGCAAAATTTTTCTGTATTGTCAAAGTGTGATCACATCAAGTCACAGAAAATAACAGAATGAGGTCAGAGAAACAAACTTTTTGTCAGAGCCTAGAAACTTGTATAACTATCTATGACTATTTTGCACACATTTGGGTGAGGAATACACTTCCAATCAATCACAATCCATAATGGGTATATACATGAGTTAGCAGTCTGGAGGAGTCTGGTAATGAATGCTTCCTTTCCTGGTGATTCTTTTGGTTAATGTCAATACCTTGTGACAAGTAATGACAGTGTGAGGTTTTATTAAATGAAGATACACTTTACTACCAACTCTCCCATGGACCCATTCTAACATTAAAAGATGATGACAACCAGGCAAAGTATACAATACTGGATCACCTCAAAATATAGATCCACATAGTCAATATCTATTCAATCATGAAAATTATATTTACATGCAACATCAAGCTAAATGTAAACGAATCAAAAAAAAGTGTCTGAGGTTATCTCCTCGTAATAAATTTGAAGGAGTGATTTTGTGAGACTATGATTAACATATCTATTCTTCTACTCCTGCAGGAAAAAAAATCTTGTTAAATAAATTGTATGAATAACCATCTACAAATTCATATTTACTGTATTAAGATTATAATATTCCAATAAAAACTTTAAAAGTAACTAGTGATATAGCTAGTATGGGTTGAAACCAAGCTGCAGTATTTAGCTCACATTCTGCCAAATCTTATCTACTCTTATCAGAGAAATTGTCTCTTAAATTCTGAGTATAAATTTATGAAAACCTCCTACAACCCTATCTCACCCAATTTTAGGATTAGATGAGAGCCAAACTTCAGGTAAAAAAGAATATTTATAGTTACGTAACAAAATGACTAGTTCATGATGTAGACTTGTCACGCCGTAAGATTAAAAACAGAACAGGCATAATTATCATTTATAAGCACACAAAGGCATACCATCAACTGCTTGCAAACTGCCATGACAAAAGGTGATTAATATATGTATTTTGTTTTACATATCATCCCTTGAAATGCAATTTTATTGAACATCATATATCACATAAACTGATGTTTCTGTGCAGAAAATAAGTAGCACTGGGTAAGACACAACATCAATGTTCAGTAAAGTTCTTTATTAAACAGTGATGATAAATTACAATTTAAGATTCAACGATGAGGAATTCCTTTGATTTCCTAACCACAATGTGTTAAATACAGTAAATACTGCAAGCTAGTTATGCAGGCACACCTCTCAAAATATTGTTTGAAGAACTAAGAGACAAGTTTATCCAAAAAATCAAACCATTGTCAAGGCTGTCTTCGATATTCTTTCCTTTTCCTGAGTCAATAGTTTCACATAAGAATTTAAAAGGATTCTTGTCAAAGTCAGTGACATTTAAACAGTGATATCCAAAGTATTTTGGCTTACTTTCAGTAAAACACAAGACCACACTTGAGTTACAAAATACTTAATTATGAAGAATGGAAATATACAATTCCAACTTTTTCATAAGGGTGAGAATTTCCCACCTGCCTAGACAGAAATTATCAATGCAAGATTTACATCATGATATTTGAAATTAAGGGCATCGATTTCTATACGTCTAAAGCAAGACTGAAAGGCTGAATTCTTATAACACAGATCTACTTAAGTGTAGCAATTTAAAGATTTCACAAGATTTTTAAACACAAACAAATCTTGAAAGGAAGTCTATGCACCTGTTCTGATGGCAAGTTTGGAATTTTGCATGATAGCAGCGTCGATATGATAAAAAGGCTTTTATTTACGACTTTATGGAAGCTGAACACAAGATCACAATTGAATGGGTTCCCGTTTCAAAATCACGCCATATAATGCACAATGTACATTGCAGAACATGTCACTTTATGATTCGGTATAGCACGAAACGTTTTGACTCTGTAGAGAGTAGAACACCGCAGCGAAGAAGCTGTTGTATTATGCATTTCATTTTCATACTAAACCTTCTCTCTACAGTTGCTATCGATTTAATGGCAGACGAGTTTGTTTGCAACTTTCAAGAGCGAGCAAACATCTGGTTTCATAAACTCCTAAAGAGCTTGATCAATGAATTCAAATACCTGAGGTTTTACACTGATCAATATTCTTACCCAGCTAACTATGGCCTCCTACTATGAACGGCTTCAAACACCAACATGAAAGTATCAGCGGTGTAGACAATGAACTCAGTAAGACTGCGGTAAATGGACAACGTACAGCAAAAAGTAATTCTGTTCTTGAGGCAGTAGAACTGTCGAATGACCTGGTCTAAGCGAAACCAGGAAGACCGGCGAAGTTCTTCAAATTTTCAAGACAATACAAGCAACTCTTACTCTGAAACGAATTTCTCTTTAAAGCTACAAGGCAAACATTAAGAAAGAACAAGGACTAAAGCACCGTTGACGAACGACCAGCTCAATCCAAGCAACGGCATGAAACGGTTCGTGATGTCTGAATTAGTCGACACCACTTCAAAGCACTACGATTGATTCATCAGGAAAGCAGCTGACAAATTCGAACGAAACTCATTTCGGTTTGAACACAACACGGTGTAAAATTCGGTAAAATAAATCTCAAATTTGCAACTTACCGTAAATTCAGACGTCACTGGATCGAAACCCACGTGAATCGTGTGCTCGAACTGAGTCGGGTAGGAGATCTCTGGCTTTTTCTTCGAATCTAAGACATTCAGTAGTTATATGTTATCATATTAAAGAATCGACGCCAAAAACAAAATTTTCCTTTAACTGTCAAACCGTTTTTCGATTTTAAAGTAGTTAAGTTACACAGCTTACATTTCTCGTCGCCCTTAAAGAACCGAAATGTGGCTGCTTTCTTCTTCTTCTCATCAACAGGAGCACTCGGCAAAGGCTTCGAAGCAGGCGACATGGAAGAATCTTTCGTGGAAGTAAGACGCATAGGAGGGGCCGGCGGCCTTTCTTCGTCCGACATGTTGATTCAAAAAATTATCTAGCCGCAGAAATAGAGCTCCCCTAATTCAAAAGTTCTTATTCTATGGAACGCCAACAAAAATTCCGGCACTGAGAACATGCGTACCTCAGAAGTTCATAGTTTCACCGTTCAGTCGCAAGGCTGTCAGGGATGGTTTTATGACATTTGCGAGGGCGCCCTCCCACTCATAGCACGGAAGGTACTGGGTACTACAATCATTATTTTTAGCCAATCACAATACAGGATAACATCGAAGAGTTTCCGGTTACCCAGAATATTTTCGCGGACCTTTTGAAATTAGTCATCAACGAAGTATTCTTCTACACATAGGCTGGGCCGGCCTTAGACGGTCCCTTTCCAGGCCCATATAGAGTCTTCCAACCCACGTCTGAGAAATTGGTATATTGATTTGTGCTATTTTCTACAGAGTTTCCCCTGTTCGATACCAGGACTTCCTCAGTCCACTTAGTCAAGGAGTACGTAAGAAATGGTGCCGTGCCGCGCCTTCAGGTAGTCTGGTCAGTGGCTGATCGCCACGGCAACGGCTGCATCCGTAACTCTTGAAATTAAAACGAAATT